CTCTTGGGTGCTTCTTGGGGGGGGCGTCTAAGGGTCCCTTGGGGGCATCGGCTCTGCAATCTGAAGCCGTCATTGGCCGTCCTGGCTGCGTGGAGGCCCGACTTGAGACCACCTGCGGCCAGATTGAGGCAATCCGGAAGCCTCCCGGGGGCCTCCTTGAAGCAGTTTTGACGCATCGAGGGCACTCTTGGGCTATTTTAAGACCTCTTGGACGTCTCCTAGGGGCCTTTTGGGCCCTCGGGAAGCTTCTGGCGTCCTCGTCGGACCACTTGAGGGCCTCTTGCGGCCTCCTGTGGGTCTTTTGGGGGGAACGCTCTGCTGTTGGCTCGCGTTCCCCTTCTTGGGCCTCTCTTGGGGCTCTTGGGGCCCTCTCGGGCCGTCTTGGGCGCCTCAAGCACCGTCTTGGGGCCCTCGCGGGCCGTTTTGGGGCCCTCTTGGAGGCTCTTCCTTTATATGGGAGCGGGATTGGAAGCCTCTTGGGCCGTCTTGGAGCATCGGGATGCCAAAAGGCCGAAAACATTAAAGCCCGTCAAAGCCCAATCGTAAAACAATGAGTTGTGCCTCTTGGGGCCACCTTGGGAGATCTCTTGGAACCTCGTCGGCCCTCTTGGGAGCTTCTTGGGGGCCTCTTGGATCCGATTGGGGGCCTCTTGCGACTTCCCGAGAACCTCTCGGGGTAGAAAGCTCGGATTCTCGGTTCGTGCTTCCCTTCTTGGGCCTCTCTTGGGGCCGTCTTGGGGCCCTCTCGGGCCGTCTTGGGCGCCTCAGGCACCGCCTTGGGGCCCTCGTGGGCCGCCCAGGGCCCTCTTGGAAGCCTCTTCGGCTATCTTGGAGTTGTCTTGGAGACCTCTTCCTCCTCCTCGTCCCCCTCCTCCTCCTCCTCCTCTCACTCCAGCTCTCCATCTCCCCGGTAACATCTTCATACCCCTTCCTCCTCATCATCGCTCCTCCTTTCTCCTCCATCTTCGTCTCCTCATTTGGGGGGTCCCAAAACCGCGCGGTGACCACAAAATCCCAAGAGACCTCACCGCACAGTCCGTCACCGCCCGGTCTTGGGACGCTGTAGGCCCCGATCGCCCGAGACGTCCCCCAAAAACGACCCTGGTCCCAAAACCGTGCGGTGGACCCGAATCCCCACAGACTCGCCAAACCTCAACAAGTACAAAAGAAGCCCTGTGGCACGAGCGAAAGGACGCGCAGGCGGGGAGGGGGAGGTGGGGCAAGGAATGGCCGCGCGCGCGAGCAATTACTTATTACTCGGGCGCCCCGGCCCGCTCAACCAGGCGCTCCCGCAGAGCGGCTTGTCCACGCGGCGTCGGCGCCCACAGCGCGCGCCGCCCGGAGCAGCAACAGCGCGGCTGCCCGCGGCAGGATGACCAGGGCCTTCCCGCCGCACAGGCGGCACGCGAGGCACTCCCACTGCAGAGGCCGACTGGTCACCGCGCAGTTTGGGGATCCCCGACTCCTCCTCGACGATCCACAGAGAGCGCCGGGGGGGCACCGCGCTCACAACTCCCCCAAAGCGGAGACACGCGTCGCTGGCAGGCACCGCGCGCCGAAAGCGTCGTCGGGCCTCCCTTGGCGCGGTGCGCTGACGAGGCGAGGCTGACCCCTGCTTTGCGTGGATGTTTCCACGTCCGCCGGCTGGAGAAACGATGTCCTCTAGGCCCCTGGAACAATAATGCAGCATGTTTGTCAATGCCCCCCCGCCCACCCACCCCCGGGCCCCAGATCTCCACGTTGAGTGTCAGCCGCCGCCGACGGAGGCATAATCTGATCGCCCCGCGCGAACAGTGAAATTGAGGGGCGCGGGGACATGGACCGCGCGCGAGTTGCATGACTTTTCCAGGGCAGTGGGAGCCCAAGGGGCGTTAGATATAGATATATCTGGGCCCGAGGAGCCCGAAGATCTCCACATCCACCGCCAGCCGAGGTACCCCCGAAGACCAATCCACGATCCCGCCGCCGCCCTCGCGACGGAATCGTCGAATGTCATAGGACCCTACTCGTACTATGTGTCCTCGCAGGCGTGCGTCCCACCCGAGCACATCGTACAAACATCTTGTATCATGTCATTTCCCGAGCGGTGTGGCCAGAAAGTGCCCGCCACGGGGGTGTACGCCATAAGATTTCTCTGTGCGCGTCTCGCGCCTGGGGGTGGCGACGCGCACGTAGTACCGACTTCAGGTGTGGGGTGGCTGGTGGCGGACATGGTCTTCGCGCCACCTGGCCCATCCCTCTGCGTGCGAGCACAGCGAGAGGCTTCGTCCGACGTTCGACGGCGACCCTATCCCCCTTCCTGCTCCCTCTCCTCCGACTTTCACGTTTGGCAAACTTGGGACAGCTAGGAGAGTAGCTTCTGAAACTTCATGGTG